GTGAGGAAGATCAGCCCTGAGCTAACATCCATGCCAATCCTCCTCTTTTTGCTGAGGAACACTGGCTCTGGGCTAACGTCTGTGCCCATCTTCCTCTACTTTATATGGGATGCTATAAGCGGTGCATCAGTGCACACCCAGGACCTGAACCTGCAAACCCTGGGCTGCTGAAGTGGAGGCTTGCACTTAACCGCTGTGCCACTGGGTGGCCCCCTGTGTTTTTTTTTTAAATTAAATTATTTTTTTTTCTTTGAGCTTTATTGAGCTATAATTGACCTCATTGTGGTTTTGATTTGCATTTCCCTTATGACTAAAGATGTTGAGGATCTTTTCATGGGCTTGCTGGCCGTTTGTATAACTACTTTGGAGAAATGTGTATTCAAGTCCTTTGCCCATTTTTCTAACTGGGTTACCTTTTTGTTGTTTAGTTGTAAAAGTTCCTTATTCAGGATACTAGACCCTTATCAGATATATGATTTGCAAATATCTCTCATTCTGTAGATTGGCTTTTCACTTTCTTGATAATGTCCTTTGATATACAAATGTTTTTAATTTTGATTAAGTCCAGTTTATTTATTCTTTAGTTGCTTATGCTTTTGGTGCCATATCTAAGAATCCATTGCCAAATCCAAGGTCATGAAGAGTTATTCCTGTTTTCTTTTAAGAGTTTTATAGTTTTAGCTCTGACGTTTGGTGTATGATGCATTTTGGGTTAATTTTTGTATATTATGTAAGGTAGGGGTCCGACTTCATTCTTTTGCATGTAGAAATCCAGTTATCTCAGAACCATTTTTTGAAGAGACTCTTCTTTCCCGATTGAGTGTTCTTGGCACCCTTAAAATAAATTGGCCATAGATATGGGTTTATTTCTTGACTCTCAATTCTATTTCATTTGTCTATACATCTTTCCGTATGCCAGTGCCACACTGTCTTGACTGCATTGCTTTGTAGTGAGTTTTGTAATCGGGAAGTATGAGTCCTCCTGGTTCTCCTTTTTAAATGTTTTGGCTCTTTGGAGCCTTTTGCAGTTCCATCTGAGTGGAGGACTGCTTTTTCCATTTCTGAAAAAAAGGTCTTTGGAATATTCATAGGGATTGTTTTGAATCTGCAGATCACTTTGGGTAGCATTGCTATCTTATATTAAGCTTTCCAATCTAAGAACTGTATCCCATAAGATTTTAAATGTTATATTTTCATTTTCGTTTGTGTCAAAGTATTTTTTAGTTTCCTTTGTGATTTCTTGTTTGACTATTGGCTGTTTAAGAGTGTGTTGTTTAATTTCCACATATTTTGAATTTTCTAGTTTTCCTTCCTGTTAACTGATTTATAGTTTCATTCCATGTGTGTCAGGGAAGAGACTTTGGATGATTTCAGTCTTTTAAAATTTGTTGATACTTGGCATTGTGGCCTACCTTATGGTCTGTCCTGGGGAATGTTATGTGTGCACTTTAGAAAAATGTGTATTTTGCTGTTTTTGTGTGGAATGTTCTGTATATATCTGTTAGGTCTAATTGGTTTATAGTGTTGTTCAAGTCTTCCATATCTTTGTTGACCTTCTGTCTAGATGTCCTATCCATTAATTGAAAGTGAAAGTCTCCAGCTATTTTGGAACTGTCTCTTTCTCTCTTCAATTCTGCCAATTTTTGCTTCAGACATTTTGGGGACTCTGTTTTAGGTGTGTCTATGTTTATAATTGTTATCTCTTTTCATCCTTTCACTTTTAACCTATTTGTGTTTGTGGATCAAAAGTGAGGCTTGTAGACAGCATATAGTTGGATTATTTTTTTTTAATCCATTCTGCCAATCTCTGACTTTTAACAGGAGAATTTAGCCTATTTACATTTAAAGTGATTACTTATGAGGAAGAGCTTACTTCTGCAATTTTATTTATTTTCTGTATGTCATACCTGTTTTGTTTCTCAATTTGTCCATTACTGCCTTCTTTTGTGTTCAATTGGTTTTTTTGTAATGTGCCATTTTCATTCCTTTCTTGTTTCCTTTTTTATTTTTTAGTTATTTTTTTTAGTGGTTTCCCTGGGAATTTCGATTAACCTCTTAAACATAAAACAATATATTTTGACTTAACAACACCTAGCTTCACCTAATTTTGTATACAGAATCTCTGCTCCTATACAGCTCGTCCCTCCCCCTTCTTGTTATCGTTGTCACAAATCACATCTTCTTATATTGTGTTCCCGTTAAGATAGATTTATAGTTTTTTTTAATACATTTGGCATTTATCTTTTAAATTATGTAGGAAAGCAAAGAGTTACAAGCCAAAAATAAAATAATTCTGGTTTATGTAGTTAGCCTTTACTGGTGTTCTTTATTTCTTGTATGGCTTTGAGTTATTATCTAGTGTCCTTTCATTTCTGCCTGAAAACTCCATTTTGATTTATTGTAGGGCAAATCTAGCAACGAGCTCTCTTAGCTTTTGTTTATCTGGGAATGCTTAATTTCTTCATTTTTGAAGGATAGTTTTGTTGAATATAAGATTATTGGTTGACCTTTTTTTTTTTTTCCTTTTGGCACTTTAAAGATGCCATCCCACTACTTTCTATAGTTTCTTCTGAGAAATCAGCTGTTAATCTTGAGGGCTCCTTGTACGTGATGAATTGCTTCTCTTCTTGCTGCTTTCAAGATTCTCTCTGTCTTTGTCTTTTGATAGTTTGATTTAATGTGTCTCAGTATGTATCTCTCTTCTTGAGAAATTTATTCTTCTTGAAGTTCATTGAGGTTTTTGGATGTTTAGACTTGTGTCTTATCAAATTTGGAAAGTTTACAGCCTTTATTTCTTCAAATATTCCTTCTGCTCTTTTCTCTCTTTCCTTCTGGGTCTCCAATTATGTATATGTTGGTATGCTTGATGCTATGGTCTGAATGTTTGTATCTCTCCAAAATTTGTGTGTTGAGATCCTGACCCCCAAAGATGATGGTGTTAGGAGGTAAAGCCTTTAGGAGGTGCTTAGGTCATGGGGATGGAGCCCTCAGAATGGGATGAGTGCCTTTATGAACAGGCTCTGGAGAGATCCCTTGCCCCTTCTACCACACGAGGACACAGCGAGAAGGTACCGGCTACGAACCAGGAAGAGGGCCCTCACCTGACCATGTTGGCATCTTGATCTTAGACTTTCCAGCCTCCAGAACCATGAGAAATAAATTTCTCTTGTTTATCAGTAACCCAGTCCATGGTATTTTGTTATGGCAGCCCAAACAGACTAAGACACTTGATGTCCTACAAGTGTCTGAGGTTCTGTTCATTCTTTTCTCTTTCTGTTTCTTAGACTGGATAATTTCAGTTGGCCTATCTTCAAATTTGCTCATTCTTTCTTCCTGCCAGTTCATATCTGCCATTAAAACTCTCTAGTGACTTTTTTCATTTCAGTTATTGTACTTTTTAGCTCCAGAATTTCTATTTTTTTTTTTTATAATTTCTGTTTCTTTATTGATATTCTCTGTTTGTTGAAACAGTGTTCCCCTGGTGTTCTTTGTTCTTTGTCCATGGTTTCCATTACTTCATTTAGCATATTGAAGACAGTTTATTTGAAGTCTCTGTCTAGTAAGTCCAATGTCTGCTTTCTCATGGTTTGTTTCTCTTAATTTCTCCTGTGTGTGGACCATACTTTTGTTTCTTTGCATGCTTTGTAATATCTTGTTGAAAACTGTATGTTTTGAATATTATAATGTGGTATCTCTGGAAATCAGGTTCTTCTCAGAATTTGTTTTTGTTGTGTGCTGTGGGGTGTAGTTGTTTGGTGACTTTTCTAAACTATTTTTGTAATCTCTTATTTTTTGTTGTGTTTGTTCTCTAACTTGCTTGTGGTCAGCTCATATTTTGAGAGAGATTTCCTTGAATGCCTGGAGCCAAAAAAAAGAAAGGGAAAAAACTTTCTAATCTTTGCAGAATGGCTCTGCTGTAGCTCTCCTTGAGTGCTTAGCCAGACTGTTTACAGCTCTGCCTTAGCCTTCATTTCCTTGTTATGTTGAGCCTAAAGATCAGCTGCAGGTGAAAGCTTAGGGTCTTTTCATATCTTTTCTGAGCATGCTTCCTACCCTGGGCAAGTGTGTAGCTTTCTAAATTCCTATCTTTAGGATATATGGGCACTTTCCAATGCCCTAAATTCCCAAAGAAACTGTCTCCCCAGCTTTTCCTCCCAGGCTTTTGGCCCGTTTGTTTGCCTCAATTGAAATCTTTTGCCCCAGGTAGCAGCAAGTTCTTATTTGCCTTACAAGGTTTTTGAGCAGTGCTTTTCCACCCTGAGAGAGTTCTAAGTCAGGCAAAACGAAGACAAGCACCTTCAGGTAGCCCCCAGACAGGCCAAAACAGACAAACACAATGCTTTCAGAATAAGGTCTGCTCTGCTCTCTCCGGAACCAGGGACTAGGTTCCCACGCTGAGAATGAAGGCTGCTGTCTTCAAGACCACTGTGGGGGGGGAGGAGGGGCAATGGCAGGTAAAAACTCTGCTGAGATTTCCTACTGTTTTAAGTTGCCTTTTGCTTGATTCAGTGTTTGCTGAGTTGTAAGTCTCTGACTGTTTTCTGGAATTGTGGCAAAGCTGATTCTGATAGTTTTTGCTTGATTTTTCAGTGATCTGCAGAGGGATGGGCCCTTGGAACTACCTACTCTGCCATTTTCAATGTCACTCAAGAAAGATTTTTTAAAATTATTTATTATGATATTTTGCTTTAATGAGGAGTCCAAGAAATTATATTAATGTTCATACAAATTGTTAACAGGATGGAATCCGACGTGGTAGACCCAGAGCAGATACTGTCCGGGATTTAATAAATGAAGGCGAGCATTCGTCCAGCAGAATCCGTTGTCACATCTGTAATAGGGTGTTTCCACGGGAGAAATCGCTCCAGGCTCACAAAAGGACTCACACAGGTAAGCTGAGCAAATTTTAGGGAATGCCAAAAATAATACTTAACTGAAAGCTGATTTGATGTTTGGGCCAATAAATTAATTTTTTAGTTGCCTTATATTTCCTAATGGTAAGATTTTTTAAAACAGGCACTGTGTAGTCATTTTCTCTTTTGGTAGGGACGGATGGTTTTCGGAACATTGGTTCTATGTGACTTCTAAAGTTATCATGGTAATTGTTCTAGTTGTCACAGGAATGATATTGCTAAATATAGTTCTGGCCTTCTACCTACTGGAATTTTACTTGATATTCCCTTAAGTTGTCTGTATAATTGTTAAAACTGATTTGTAGTCCAAATACTAAAACAGTACTTATCAAGTTTTTAATAGAATTTCTAGAGTCCTCAGTGTACCATCAGAGTATTTGACCTAGCCATTAAATCTAAGGTGAAGTAAAATTTTTCAGAATTAAATGTATTGTAGGTAGCTATTCCAAGACCATCATACATCTTTATTTGTGTAGAAATTATACTTGCATTTTAAATACCATAGAGAGAGCAAAAAAACAACATGGAGAGGCCCTTGTTCTTGGCGTAGAGAAAGTTGGCTCCAGAAGATGGAGCCTTGTGGTTTTAATAATGGTATCTAATAATTTACAGTTGAGGGAACTGAGGTGCCAAAAACTAATTACCTCTGCCTTACAGCCCCTCGTACCCTTAGTTCTGGAGCTAGGCTGGCAGGTATGGTAAGAAGCACATGTAGCTCTTGAGCACTGGAAATGTGGCTCATCTACATTGAGATGAGAAGTGTGTATAAGATACACTTAGTATGAAAAAAAAGAATAAACAATATCCTTAATAATTTTTGATATTGAGTACATATTGAAGTGATAATATTTTATGTATATTGGGTTAAATAAAATATATTATCAATTTCAACTGTTTCTTTTTACGTTTTTAATGTGGCTCCTGGAAGTGGTTCACGTTATATTTCTGTTGGGCAGGACTGGTCTAGAACTTGGACCTTAAACCCTTAGTCCCCTATTTTTTTCACTATGGTTATGGTTATCACCCGTTCCTTATTTTTTTCCTTTTAGTTTTGGAAAAGATCCATTTTAATGATATGCTAGAATATAGTTTTCTTAGATAACTCCATGAAAAAGGGTCAAGTTTTAATTTTGAATTATTATAAACTAAGATGGCCAAGAGGCTTTGACTTTAGGAACCATTCGGTAAAACTAGTACTTAGTTAAGTATCTGATTTTGAGAATTTTTGTATTTTTTTCAATCTAATTAGTCTGAAATTCCCCCAAATAACTGGTTCGCAGGCTGTAGAGTATGTGTGGCTAGTGTGGATAAGATTCAAGACTATGTGGCATAATGAAGAGATCCCTGAGCCCCAGTCCTGACCTACCACTAACCCACTGTGTGTCACCCAATGCTTCCAGACCTTGGCCTCCTGCGCTGGCTGCCAGGGAACTGAGCCCGAGGTCTGCAAGGTATAGTTAGGCTCTGATAACACGTGCTTTGTAAAAAGCTTTTTTCTTACTATTTTAAATGTTCCCCTCTCCCCCCATATCCTGTGTTTTATTTACTTGTGTCCAACTATCATAACCATTTAGTACATTTCTAAATAATGAGAAATTTAGGCAGGACTTGTTACTGTTCTTTGAGTCATATTGGAAGAACCAGTGTATAATTGTTGATCAAAGAATGTTTTTTTCAAGAAATAATAAGTTTAATTATGATTGAACAACATTTTTGAGCACTTTCTCGAGCCTAGCACTATGTTGTGTGTAGGAATTAAAGTGGAGTATAAGGTATTGGGCATCTTTGTGTAAGGAGAGTCCCATGATACATAAACAACGAAGGATACTAAGTTAGTGAAGGGGGATAGATACAGAGTTCAATTATTGGCAGGTAGGGGGAGGTAGAAGGGTTTCATTGAGAGCCTACAGGATTGGGAAGATTTGAATGGGCAGAGAAGATAGGATTTTCAAGGAGTAGAACAAGATGAGGAACTGTCTCTCGTGGCTGGAATGAGTCTCCAGGAGGGAAGTAAATATAAACCTTGCTCCCTAGCCCGGTAGCTATAGTGCAGATATTAGGGGACCATTTAAAAGTCAGCAGGTAATTTTCATTTGTTCAAGAAGTGTAGTAGGGTTTGGGGTGATTTAGGGGGTAGTTGGTATGACAAAAGCAAGTGTTCTGTGCAGGGGGAGAGACTAGAAGCCAGCCAGCATTCGTTCTAGGTGAGAGGTGCTGCCAGTGGAAAAGCAGGAATGGGAGACATCTTAAAGAATCAGCAAGAGCTAGTGATTTGGATTGTGGGGATAAAAAATATGGGATAAGCCAAAGATGATAACTTCAAGGGTTTGAACCTGGGTACCTAAAAGCTCAAGGCCTAAAGAAAATCTCACTGTGCTTCCAAGTGGATAGCTGCTTGATAGCATCGAAGTGCTGTCATGAGAGTTCCACTGCAGCTCTGCAGAGGCTGTGACATGTTTTATTGTGCTTTGGAGTCATGAACTATAAAAGTTGATTCTCTATCCTGTCCCTTCCTTTTTTCACCTTATTGTCTCAGAAATAATATATAGCATCTGTCTACTTAGGTGAGAGACCCTATCTGTGTGACTATCCTGACTGTGGAAAAGCCTTTGTTCAAAGTGGACAGCTCAAAACGCATCAGCGTCTTCACACCGGGGAGAAACCTTTCGTTTGTTCAGAAAATGGTATGATGTTAGGAGTTAAGGTTATGGAACAACTAGTTGTGAGTTAAAAGTTAAAATGTCTTTTGCTTGAATTTTTGGGGAGGAGAGATTTTTGATAAAAATTTCACAAAACACCATAAGCTTTCTTCCTTGCTAATTGTGATCCATGCTCAATTTCTGGGAAATGATTGATTTTTAAATAAAGTATTCTTTTAGATGAAAATCTTAAAGGGCAATTAAAAATAGTATAGCCAATTGTAGGCATTAGGAAAATCTATAAAAGTTAATACAGCCTTTAGAGTAGGCTTTTATTTTGGTTTTAAACTTTTTACTATTAAACTGAAGGAAGCACAGCATCGTCTGAATTTTCAGTAAAAGGGGAGGTTTACCATCTTAACATTGCTGCTGTTTGTAATTTCTTATCACTCTTCTTAAGTGATTTTCTTAATCTCTTATCACAATGTCTTAAGATGTTTTTCTCATGCAAAGTTTTACACAGTTAAATTTGAAATTCAGTAGTTTTGTTCTGCAGCTCTGTGGTTTTCTTGATTATTGTCAGTTGTTACAAATGTCTACACACTTTTGCATCCAATGAATCTGCTTAAGCATATCCACAATGATTGCCTCAATGTTGGAATATTGAACATTTAATTTGTTTTTAAAATTTGTTACCCACAAAGCTGAGGGGCATGTTTTCCTACTTAAATCTTTGTTCAGCTTCTGGGGCATTTCCTTATGATTGATTCCAAGAATGGAATTCCTGGGTCAGAGGTTTTGAACATTTTTATGACTCGTGCAAATAAATCACTTTCCATTGGGGGTGAATGCATTTACATTGCAATGACCAAAAGGTGAAAGAAGCGTCTTCCCATCCCTTGCTAGCAGTGATAATACTATGCTTAAGATTTTTTTTTTTTTCCTCCAAGTTATAGAGTGCTACATCTCATTGTCTTAATTTACTTTTCTCGGATACCAGTGAAACTGAACGTTTTCCATGTCTACTGGATGTCCAGATTCTGATAAGTGTTTCCTTCCATGTTTTGAAGGCTGCCTAAGCAGATTCACCCATGCAAACCGCCACTGTCCGAAGCACCCTTATGCCAGGCTGAAGCGGGAGGAGCCCACAGACGCTCTCAGTAAGCACCAGGCTGTGGACAACCAGGCTGCTGCTGAGTGGTTGGCAAAGTAAGGCTCTCCCTGGTGTCCACTGCAGAATTCTGCCCAGTGTGGGTGGATGCTGGGGGCTTCAACACTTCTCTCATTTTAAATAAGTTGCTTTTATACACATTTTATAAAATAACTTGAAATGGTGCTTTATTTCTTTAAACCACAGGAGTGTTATTAAGATCTGTGTGTGTGATAGAAAACTAAAGCAAGTTTTCCCCATGTGAGAAGATTGTTTTATGTGTATGCTATTTCATTTGTCGTTCGTGCAGCCCCTCTTCATCTTCTTTATATTAGATTGAGTTGTTGAGTATATTAGAGCTAGATAGGTGTTGATTATCACAGGGATAGAGTCGAGAGATTCTTCTAGAGTAAAGCTCCAAAAAGCACCAGTTTAATTTTTTTAATAGCAACAAGGGGGGCAGTAAAAAACTTTCTCAAAGGATGTTTTGATATCAGGAGTCATCTCTTGTATACAAACCTGCGTCAGCTGATTGTGTCCGTCCTCAGCTTCGTCTGCTTCCTCTGCACTTGGGATCCAGTCTGGAACCCCTCACTGTGCTGCTGTGGCTCTGCCTCCCTCTGGCAACGCAGCTGTCTCCAGCCTCCTGGGCTGCTCGATTCCCAGCACCACCATCGCTGTTGTGTCTGGGCTTTTGTGCTCACTGCTCCCTCTGCCGGGAGAGCTTGCTCCCGCCTTCTTTTGACCACTCTGCTCATTCTTCATTTCTTACTCAGGTTAACTATCACTTCAGGAAGTTCTTCCCTAACCTACTTACCAACCCTAGAAACAAACAAGGTTAGACCCACTTAAGAGATACATTTATAACAAAATGTGTTTTCCCTTTCAAAACCTCCATCACACACTTCTTTATTCCTTCAGTGTCTGTCTTCCCTGCTGAACAGTAAATCCACAAGGGCAGGGATTATGTTTATCTTGTTACTGCATCACTTCCTCCCTCCCTCTTCCTCCTGGCAGGCCCCCACTGCCCCATTATCTCTAATTTTGCCCAAGCCAGAAACTTGTTGGTCATCTTTGTCTTGATCCTTTCTTTCTCCCATTTACTCAGTGACCAACATGGATTCTACTTCCTTAACAACTCTCAAATTCAGCCACTTCAGCCCTCTCCATTCTTCATGCTGCTGCCAGAGGGATCTTTCTACAATGCTAACATGATCATCAGTATAAAGTCTAAACCCTTTATTTTGGCATTCACAGCCCTTCAGTACCTCGTCCCTGCTGACCTTGCTAAAGTTCTTTTGCCATTTGCCTCTTCTAGTTGTCCTTCAAGCCATACTGAACTATGTGCATTTCTTCTTTATATCTCTTGAGTATTGCCAAAACTTCTCCAGTTTGTGTAGTCTGGATTTCCTGAAATCTAGTAGTTGTATTATTTTTTGTATGTAGTTTTAAGAACAGCTTTATTGAGGTATTATTGACATACAATAAATTATACATATTTAAAATATACAATTTGATACGTTTTGACATATGCATACTACTGTGAAACCACTGCCACAGTCAAGATGTGAAATGTCCATCACTTCCAAGAGCTTCCTCGTGCCCCTTGGTCATCCAGCACTCCCACCCCTCCCTGCCCTCCTCCTCCCCAAACAACACTGATCTGCTTTCTGTTAGTATAAACTAGTTTGCATTTTCTAGAGTTTTATACAAATGAAGTCATACAGTATGTACTCCTGTTTATCTGGCTTCTTTCACGCAACGTAATTATTTTGAGATTCATCCACATTGTTGAGTATATTAACAATTAATTCCTTTTTATTGCTGAGTAGTAATCCATTGTATGGATATACCCCAACTTGTTTATTCATTTTTCTGTTGATGGGCATTTGGGTTGTTTTTGGCAATTACAGATAAAGCCACTATGAATATTAATATACAAGTCTTTTGTGGACATTTTCATATGTAATGGTACTGCCATTTAAATATGCATTTCTTTAGTTACCAAAAGTTAGAACATTTGCATTTTCTTTTGTGAATTATCAGTTGGCTATGTAATAGAATAATGGTGGTGCTCTTAAATTTTTCAGTAAGCTCTATGTGTTACAGATATTGTTTGTCATATTTTATGGGTTTAAAGTTTTTCATAGTTAACTCTGTCAAGTCACCATCCCTCTGTGGATAGGATAAATAGGTTTCTAATGATTATTTGTTCTACTCTGTCTATATTTTACTTTAATCCATTTAACGTATGATCTTTAAGTCAGCTATAGTTTAATGGCAAAAACATGTGATTAGAGAGTTGAGTGTGAGACCCAGAACTGCCAGTTTTGATTTTGGAAATCTGAGCACGTTCCTCAACTTCTTGAATTTGAATTTTTTCCTTTGTGATGGGAAATATATGTAATGTATGTGAAATCACTTTATAACTTTATAAACTGAAACATAAAATAATAGTGTGGTAATGAACCTTTTTTTAAAAAAAGTAAACATTTGAGCATGCCATGTATAGCATATAACTAACGCATATGCATTTCATATAGGTATTGGGAAACAAGAGAGCAGCGTACCCCCACCTTGAAAGGAAAGCTCGTTCAGAAGGCGGATCAGGAGCAGCAGGACCCTCTGGAATACCTGCAGTCTGATGAGGAGGACGATGAGAAGAGCGGGGCCCAGCGCCGGCTGCAGGAGCAGCGGGAGCGCCTGCACGGAGCCCTCGCTCTCATAGAGCTCGCCAACCTGACGGGGGCGCCACTCCGCCAGTAGCCTGAACACTGACTTCACTGTACAAAAGTACTGCCCAGCGTACTTAAAAAGTAGATCCTTGGGCATAAGCTAAGCACCTTATTTGCTTATCATAGGCTGCTATTCTGTAGAAATTTATGAAGAATGTTATTGCCCCAGAATATGGGGTGAGAGAGAATTGCACTTTTTTTATATGGTATTGGTTTTGTTGTAAAGTTTAAAATATTTTGTAAATATGGGACATATAGTACAGGGTAGAAAACTACCTATTGTGGGAAGCTAGATTTTGCAAGTTTAATGCATTCATTGGAAGCAGTTCTCACAGGAAGCACTTTCTGAATAAGACACTTGCATGAAAAAGCAGAATGGTAAATGTAGCCAAAGAAGCTCGAAATAGATTATTTATGCGATCATTTTTAACAATGTACGTTAGTATGTTTAACAATACTGTAAACACTGAAGCAAGCAAGAAAGTATAAGAAATGCGTGTAAGATATACGTTTTTAAATTGCATAATAGTGTGCCTAATAAGACTAGAGAAATGGAAAACTGACGTTCGGAAGATGTTCTAAGTTACGGACTTCAGAATTTTAAAAATTGGAGTAAAAGCAATTGTATTCTATCTTTCTGAGGCTTTACAACTCACTATGATGTTTAGGTTTGAAAAGCACTTGTCATCCCTAGCTTGTTAACTTGGGAACTTTTGCACATTTCATATTTCCCATTTGCTGAAACTGAGTGATTAATCTTGCAAAGTCTAGGTAACTTGGTAATTGGTATTTTTTTTTTTTTATATTATGGGCCCTGTAATGAGATTTGGCAATTGGATTTTTATTAATAAAAGGGACATCTACAGGGTTGTTTTGTAGTGAGCTGTTTTAGATCTTTTGTTAGCAAACACTAAATTTTAATTGTACTGCTTGTTTAGAATTATTAGCAAGTGGAAGCCTCCTATTTATATTTCCAGTGCATAAAGCCACCTTCTTGCTTTACTTCAGAATAACATGCCAAGCTATTTTGTGTTCACTAAATTTAGCTGTCAAACACTGCAGAAAATATTAGCTACTCAAATAAGTAGGCTTCTGGAATAGTTTTAACTGCAAGTGTGTTAACTCATGTGGTGGTTTTAAACTATTTTTCTAAAGAGATGGAGTTTTTAGACACCACCTTATGTACTGAAGCATGGACAGAAAAATCAAAAGCTGAGCATTCACCTCCTTTGTGTAGGCATAAACCTCCATCATTTTAGCTTTTGTTTTAAGCAGAAATTAAATAACATGCATAGCATGGTAATTTTATAGATTGCTTAACTGGAGTAAATCTCAGAATAATAGAGGGGAAATATGGGCTCTTCAGTGCCTTATTTTTTTTTTCTTTTTTGAATTGAAGTAGTAGCCTACAGATGTAGTTTAAACATTATCTAAAATTAGGCTTCTTTATCCAAAAATCCCAGTGTGTTGCAGTACCCAGATAGTTTAAAATACATAGCCATGGGGAAGAGGAGGTATGTAAATGTCTTGACAAGGAGTGAAAGTGTGAAAAATGACAGTAACAAATAATGTGTATGATGAGGACATACTTTAAAAGTCTAATTCCTCTGTACAGTAAATTACCAATCTTGAGGGATTTTTTTTTGTAATAAGAGAATTTATATTTGTAATGGTCTAAGAGTTTTGTTTGTAATATGGTATATAGAATTTTAATTTGGAGCACTTATATACACAGAGAGACTATAGCATCTGAATTTTCTTGGTTTAGGTTTCAACATTTTATCTAGAATTTTTCCTCTCAAATATGACTTAAATGAACTATAAAAAGCAACACTCATCAGCCTTGGGAAATTTAAAATTTGATGAACTTAACTAAAGAAGGAAGGGCAGTAAGAATTTAAAAAATACAAATACTTGCCATTTCACAAATAATAAAGTTTAAGGCTTCAAAAATAAGGGTTTTTGTTGGTTTGTTTCTCTGGTCAGCTTTTGTCAACTATAATAGTTATATTCACTAACTTTTTTTTGTATAATTGGAAGTTTAAGAAATTATTACAACTATTTACTATAGAAATATTTAAAATGTTCTTTTTTGATATAAGCTATATACTTGGACAAAATACATTGGCAAAATACAAATACTTGGACAAAATACATCTAAAATTTGAGGTGTTTCAGACTGCTTTTTGTTTTAAAAATGGTTTACATTCAAATTTTTGAAGTATTTTATGCTTCGTATGGCTAAGTTGTAGTTTGGCAGAGTTAACAGCATAAGAATAAACATGCTGTAATTTTAAAAGATGCTTTGAATAAAAATTTATTTTAATTTACAGTTTAAAGTACATGTTTATTCTTGAGCCCTTTATAATTTATTTTCCTATCAAAAATATAATAACCATGATATAAAAAATTAAAAAGATAGAAATGTCCCCTAAAGCACTATATTCTTCTATCATTATTATTTTGGTGCATTTTATGTTTCATTCCAGTCTCATCCCATGCATCTTTTTAGCTTTAGTTGGAACCATAGTGTGAATTGCTTTTTCTTTCTTTGAAATTATGGCCTTTTAGATTATAGATATTCATTTAACTGCCTCATCTGGTTCATTATTACAATATTAAAAATACTGTGGTGTAGATAAGTATTAAACTGTTGCCGGCCTTATCAAAGGCTTTACGTTAGGGTTGTCAGGAACTGGGATTTCATTTCACTTATATTCAGGATGTGTTGAATTCAAGGTATGCTCCCAAAGAAGCCACTCAGGGCATGTTTACTTTTCTGAGTCAAGCAAATCAATTTAATTTTTTCATTAGTTATTTTTGGCAGATCCTGAGTCGTGTACTTGCAATGGCAAGGTTCAGCCCATACAGGCTTTGTACAAAAGAATTTCACAAGCAGCTCTTCTGTTGAGTTGTGATTTAAACAGTAAGGATGAGATTTTGACATACTTAAGGTCCCTGAAGTATGTCATAGAAGCCAATTAAGTGCAAATATGATTGTCGTTAAAAGTGACTTTACTGTTTTGCAGTCAAAACTTATTTGGAAACTCACTGGAAGCTTAACTGATCTGAGGAAATTAATCAAAATGACTTAAAGTTCAGATCTTTTGATTCAACTTGAGTATGAATTTATTTTCTACTTTAAAAACGGTCTGATGTGTTTGTTTTCTTTGTTGTTCAGTGCCTAAAATAGAAAAACAATTTTATGGACATCAATACAGTTAGGCTCAAAATTCTATTTAACTTGAAATCTTTAGCTTTTCTAAAAAGCTAAAATTTCAGATTTTTAAAGTTAATGATTTAGAATGGAAATATGGGACACAACTTGAAAAAGTACTAAAGTAGGTAGACTGGTGAGAGGCAGTTCTGGGCCGCTCTCCTTCAATGAATGTGGACAACAAACACTGGTGTTACCGAACCAAGTGGGCTCGGCTCCTGGTGAGTTAAATAAGACTACGCCAGTGGAAGTTGTCTCACAAAGTAAAGTGTACTTGTGGTAAAGAGGAGTCCATGAGGAATCATTTCCAAAGTCATGGCGTCCCCAAAGGGAAGCAGGAACTTTTATTTCGGTTGGGGAATGAATATTCAAAAGGGAGAGACATGTATTCGCTTGCACAGGCTCAGTTGGAGAAATCCTTCTGCATAATGAGGCCTAAGCTCCTCCTGGAGAGATCTTTGCATTAAAAATAAGGCAAAGGTCACAGGCATAGCTCTTGTGGTGAGGCTTGGTCAGTTTCAGGATGGTTGGTGGTTACTCTCCCTAACATACAAAAGGAAAAGAAACAACTTGGAAAAGCAGTTAATTGCTTCCAAACCCATCTTTGAGTTTCTTCCAGGCACCGTAGTCAGTGACACTGATGCTTGGTTGCTATCCCCGTAGAAAAGAAATGGGCTCTCCGGGAGAGAAGCTGCCCTGCAGCACCCAGAGGCGAGAAGAGCCTTGACTTGCACCCACCTCACTCCTAGCCATTCTACTCCTGGGTGTTTGCTGAAGAGAAATGAAAACATACGTTCATACAAGGACTGTACACGAATGTTCATGGAAGCTTTTTTTTTTGGCGAGGAAGACCAGCCCTGAGCTAACATCCGATGCCAATCCTCCTCTTTTTGCTGAGGAAGATTGGCCCTGGGCTAACGTCGGTGCCCATCCTCCTCTATATGGGACGCTGCCACAGCATGGCTCAACAATTGGTGCGTCGATGTTCGCCTGGGATCCGAACCTGCGAACCCGGGGCGGCTGAAGCAGAGTGCGCACACTTAACCACTGCACCACCAGGCCAGCCCCATGGAAGCTATTTTTACAGTAGCCCTAAACTGGAAACTACCAACGTGCCCATCAGCTGGTGAACGGATAAACAAATGGTAGTAGTTATTCAACCATGAAAAGAAAGAAACAACATGGGTGAGACAAAAATAATAAACTAGCGACAAAAGGCTTAAAAGAGTACATACCCAATTTATATGAAACATGAAATTCTAGAAAAAGCAAATCTGACCTAGGTAATAGAAATCAGAATGGGGGTATTAACTTCAGTGGGGCACAAAGGGCAATTTTGGGGATGATGGAAATGTTCTGTTTTGATTTGGGTGGTTACATGTGTGTATGCATTTGTCAAAACATCGAATTATGGACTCGTAAAATCTGCATTTCATTGTATGTAAATTATATGTTAAAAAAAGTAGGGAAAAAAAGCAAAACAAACGCTAAGACTTAAACTGAAGCGTTTCTCCCCAGAGAGCAGTCTGGAAGGGGCAGGGCTCTCTCACTCTCAGGCCGGTTTCTCTTGTCCCCTGGGACGAGTCAGGAGGAGGTGCTTAGACGCGGGCATTTAGGACCCGCTCCGGCCCCCCCGCTCCTCCGCGCGGCCCTGGGCGCTCCCGGGCGCAGGCAGGCGGGGT